AGTTGTAGGGTTAATGTTTTGATTATGGCCCTTTCTTCTTTTTGGATGTGCACATTTATTGCTAGAAACTGACCACTGAGCACTGCTTTTGTTGTGTCCCAAAGATTCTGGTAGGATGTGTTTTCATTCTTATTTGATTCTATGAATGCCTTTATTCTGCCCTTAATTTCTTCTATAACCCAGTAGTTTTAGAGCAAGGTGCTCTTTAGTTTCCATGTGTTTGATTTTTTTTTCCTTGCTTTTTCTGTTGTTGATTTCTACTTTTATGGCTTTATGGTCAGAAAAGATGCTTTGTAATGTTTCGGTGCTTTGGATTTTGTTAAGGCTTGCTTTATGGCCTAATATATGGTCTATTCTGGAGAAATGTTCCGTGTGTTTTGGAAAAGAAAGTATACTTGGCTGCTGTTGGGTGGAGTGTTCTGTATATGTTTACGAGATCAAGTTGGTTGATTGTAGCATTTAGCTCTTCTGTGTCTTCGTTGAGCTTCTTTGTGTATGTTCTTTCCTTCACCAAATGTGGTGTGTTGAAGTCTCCTACTACTATTGTGGAGCTGTCTATCTCTGTTTTCAGTGCTGTTTGGGTTTGTTTTATGTATTTTGGAGTCCTGTCATTGGGTGTGTAAATATTTGTTACAGTTATGTCCTCCTGGTGTATTGATCCTTTAGTCATTATATAGTGTCCTTCCTTGTCCTTTGTGGTGGATTTTACTTTAAAGTCTATATTGTCAGAGATTAATATTGCCACTCCTGCTCTTTTTTGACTGTTGTTTGCCTGATATATTTTTTTCCATCGCTTGAGTTCTAGTTTGTTTGTGTCTTTAAGGTGTGTCTCTTGCAGGCAGCATATAGATGGATCTTGTTTTTTTATCCTATCTGCCACTGTCTGTCTCTTTATTGGTGCATTTAGTCCATTTACATTCAGTGTAATTATTGATAGGCATGAGTTTAGTGCTGTCATTTTGATGTCTTTTTTTGTGTGTTGGTCACGGTTTCTTTGTTCCCCTTACTTTTCTGTGCTGAGTTGTTTTTCTTTATGTACTTTCTTTTCATCTTTTTCATTGTTGTTGATTTTGTGTTTGCTGAGTCTTTATATTTTTCTAGTTTTTGTATTCTGAGTTCTAGGATTGTTAGTTTCCTTTGTGATTACCTTAATATCTACCTCTATTTTTCTAAGTTTATACCAGTCTCTTATTTCTTTATATCACTTTGACTTCCTCTCCATATGAAAAGTCTATGTCTACATTTTTAAGTCCCTCTTTTTTGTTTTAATGTTGTCATCTTTTACATATTGACATCTGTTTCCCTATTTTCAGTGTTTTAGCTTTCATTTACTTATGTGACTTCCCTATCTGAGTTTATATCTGGTTGCTCTGCCCTGTGTTCTAGTCTTGGGTTGTTATCTGATGTTATTGATTTTCTAACCGGAGGACTCCCTTTAGTATTGCTTGTAATTTTGATTTGGTTTTTGCAAATTCCCTAAACTTCTGTTTAGCTGGAAATGCCCTAATTTCACCATCATATTTGAGAGACAGTTTTCCTGGATATATAATTCTTGGCTGGCAGTTTTTTCCTTCAAGGCTTTATATATGTCATCCCATTGCCTTCTTGCCTGCATGGTTTCTGCTGAGTAGTCCGAGCTTATTCTTATTGACTCTCCTTTGTAGATGACTTTTCTTTTATCCCTAGCTGCTCTTAAAATTCTCTCTTTATCTTTGGTTTTGGCAAGTTTGATTATAATATGTCTTGGTGACTTTCTTTTGGGATCTACCTTACGTGGGGTTCAATGAGCATCTTGGATAGATATCTTGTTATCTTTCACGATATCGGGAAGTTTTCTGCCAACAAATCTTCAACAATTCTCTCTGTATTTTCTGTTATCCTCCCCTGTTCTGGTACTCCAATCACTTGTAAGTTATTCCTCTTGATAGAGTCCCACATAATTCTTAGGGTTTCTTCATTGTTTTTAATCCCTTTATCTGATTTTTCCTCTAATAAGTTGTGTCAACTGCTTTATCTTCAGTCTCACTAATTCTGACTTCCATTGCTTCGATTCTGCTGCTATGACTTTCTCTTGAGTTGTCTAATTCTCACATTTTATTGTTAATCTTCTGGATTTCTGATTGCTGTCTCTCTGTGGATTCTTGCAGCCTGTTAAATTTGTCATTATGTTCTTCTCTAATCTTTTTAATTTCCTCTTGCATGTTCTGTGTTTTGCTTAATTTCCTTCCTCATTTATTGAAGAGTTCTGTATATTAATCTTTTGTATTCTGCCTCTGGTAATTCCAAGAAATTTTCCTCCTCTGGAAAGTTTCTAGATTCTCTATTTTGGGAACTTGCTGAAGCCATCATGGATTGCCTGTTTATGTGATTTGATACTGACTGTTTTGTCCAAGCCATCAATAAGTTATTATATTTATTTATTTTATGTTTGCTTACTGTGTCCTAGCTTCTTGTTTTGTTTTGATATGCCCAAATAGGCTGCTAGTATGAGCTAGTTTGATTATTGGCACCTTTGAAGCTCTAATGTCTGTCACCAGGTAGTTAGATCTGTTACTAGGTATGTGAGCTCAGAAGTCTGCCCACTCCTCCTGTATGGATTCAGCTCAGGTGCCCAGGTAGATAGCCACCAAATGTGTGGTGTAGGCTCTCACTTACAGTGCTAGACAGGCATGGGTCAATGGTTTAGGCACAGGCAACTGGCTGCAGCAGCAGGACACACTCTGAGCAAGGCAGGCTGCTGATGGCCACCCCCGAGTGTCCAGGAGGAAGGTGTGTCCCTGTTCCCTAGAGCATGTAGGTGGGTGGGTTTTGCAGCTGGACTATGAGCTCCTAATACTGTTTGCTGTAAGCACTGGGGGCCACCTCTTATCCATGGGGCCCTATTGGAGGTGCTAGGTGGTGTGGGTGGAGCCACCAGTCCTCAGGCCCCTGATGTAGGTAAGTGAAGACCCTGCTCAATGGGCAGAGCAGAGCAGTGTCAAATGTCAAGAAC